TATTGTCAGTGGCTAGATTCTGTTGATTTTATGAATTAGTATCTTGAGATTCTTCCTTCTGTTTTCTCTTCTGTGTGTTAATGTCTAAGTTCTGGCTCTCAGATTTATTTCTTTCTTTACTTTTGATACATTTGATTTATTTTTTTTCCCTCTGTCCCTGGGCTGGAGTGCAGTATTGTGATCTCAGCTCACTACAACCTTAACTTCCCAGGCTTAAGTGATCATTGCACCTGAGCTCCTGAGTTGCTGGAATCACATGTGTGTATCACCATGCCTGGCTAATTTTAAAAATTTTTTATAGAGACAGGGTTTTCCTGTGTTGCCTTGAACCCCTGAGCTCAAGTTATCCTCCTGCCTTGACCTCCCAAAGTGCTAGGATTACAGGCATGAGTCACCATGCTTGACCCTTGTTCTCTTACTGCTTGAAATGGGTCCCCACTAATTCCTTCTTAGCTCATCCTGTCGAGTCTGGTTTCATGCTGCCCATAGTGTACTCTTTAAAATCTTGATAATACTCATTCCTTGCTTAAAAGTTTTTAATGGTTTCTGGCTGCCTTCTACTGGGTTCCAAAATTCTGGCTCAGTGTACAAAGCCCATGACATTATTTCTTTTAGCTATTTCTTCAGAATTATACTTCGCAATCTCTGAAGTGCACTGTCTGCTCAGGCCATACTAAGAAACCTGGGGGTTCCACAAGTGTGCCACATACTCTCGTAGCTGTGCTTAGGGATGAAATCATCTGTCTTTTCTTTCTTACTCATTCTTCAAGGCTTATCTCAACTATCATGTCCTTGAGTTTCTTCTCTGACTTGCTCAGGAAATCTTAGGTGCCCCTTCTTTGTATTCTCATAACAGCTTATATATCCCAATTTTCTGCCTGACATGGACTTTCAGATTTTAAAATAAAAGTTGCTTTAATTAAATAAATATCTCCTCAGCAGTCAATCCCCTTTAGCGTCCAACTTTCAGAATTCCAGCCAAGGTAAAGGCCAACAACATATTATAATACTTAAATCCTCTGAAGTTTATTTATTTATTTATTATTATTATTTAAATTGTACTTTAGGTTCTGGGGTACATATGCAGATCATGCAGGATTGTTGCATAGGTCCATACATGGCAAGGGGGTTTGCTGCCTTCATCCCCCCATCACCTATATCTGGTATTTCTCCCCACATTATCCCTCACCACCCTCCCCACCCTGCACTGTCCCTTCCCTACCCCCTGCAACTGACCGCAGTATGTGATGCTCCCCTCACTGTGTCCATGTGTTCTCATTGTTCACCACCCACCTATGAGTGAGAACATGCGGTGTTTGGTTTTCTGTTCTTGTGTCAGTTTGCTGAGAATGATGGTTTCCAGATTCATCCATGTCCCTATGAAGGACACAAACTCATCGTTTTTTATGGCTGCATAGTATTCCATGGTGTATATTTGCAACATTTTCTTTATCCAGTCTATCATTGATGGACATTTGGGTTGGTTCCAAATCTTTGCTATTGTAGACAGTGCTGCAGTCAACATACATGTACACGTATCTTTATAATAGAAAAAATTATAATCATTTGTATATATACCCAGTAATGGGATGGCTGGGTCAAATGGTATTTCTATTTGTAGGTCCTTGAGGAATCGCCCTACTGCCTTCCACAATGGTTTAACTAATTTACACTCCCACCAACAGTGGTAAAAAGTGTTCCTATTTCTCCACATCCTCTTCAGCATCTGTTGTCTCCAGATTTTTTAATGATTGCCATTCTAACTGGCGTGAGATGGTATTTCAATGTTGTTTTGATTTGCATTTCTGTAATGACCATTGATGATGAGCATTTTTTCATGTTTGTTGGTTGCATAAATGTCTTCCTTTAAAAAGTGTCTGTTCATATCCTTCACCGACTTTTTGATGGGGTTGTTTTTTTCCTGTAAATCTGCTTTAGTTCTTTGTAGATTCTGGATATTAGCCCTTTGTCAGATGGATAGCTTGTGAAGCTTTTTTCCCATTCTGTTGGTTGCCAGTTCACTCTAATGATTGTTTCTTTTGCTGTGCAGAAGCGCTTAAGTTTAATTAGATCTCATTTGTCTATTTTGGCTTTTCTTGCCAATGCTTTTGCTGTTTTAGTCATGAAGTCCTTGCCTATGCCTATGTCCTGAATGGTGTTGCCTAGGTTTTCTTCTAGGGTTTTTATGGTGTTAGGTCTTAGGTTTAAATCATTAATCCATCTGGGGTTAATTTTTGTGTAAGGTGTAAGGAAGGGGTCCAGTTTCATCTTTCTGCACATGGCTAGCCAGTTTTCCCAACACTATTTATTAAACAGGAAAGCCTTTCCTCATTGCTTGTTTTTGTCAAGTTTGTCAAAGATCAGATGGTTGCAAATGTGTGGCATTAATTCCGAGGCCTCTGTTCTGTTCCATTGGTCTATGTCTGTGTTTCGGTACCAGTACCATGGGGTTTTGATTACTGTAGCCTTGTAGTATAGTTTGAAGTCAGGTAGCGTGATGCTTCTAGCTTTGTTCTTTTTGCTTAGGATTCTCTTGGCTATGGGGGTTTTTTTTTTTTTTTGGTTCCATATGAAGTTTAAGGTGGTTTTTCCCAGTTCTGGGAAGAAGGTCAATGGTAGCTTGATGTGGATAGTGTTGCATCTATAAATTACTTTGGGCAGTATGGCCATTTTCACAATATTGATTCTTCCTAACCATGAGCATGGAATGTTTTCACATCTGTTTGTGTCCTCTCTTATTTCCTTGATTAGTGGTTTGTAGTTCCCCTTGAAGAGGTTCTTCCCATCCTTTGTTAGTTGTATTCCTAGGTATTTTATTCTCATTGTAGCAATTATGAATGGGAGTTCACTCATGATTTGGCTCTCTGTTTGTTTGTTATTTGTATATAGGAATGCTTGTGATTTCTGCATATTGATTTTGTATACAGAGACTTTGCTGAAGTTGCTTTTCATCTTAAGGAGATTTTGGGCTGAGATGGTGGGGTCTTCTAAATATACAATCATGTAGTCTGCAAATAGAGACAATTTGACTTCCTCTTTTCCTAATGGAATACGCTTTATTTCTTTTTCTTGCCTGATTGCTCTCACTAGAACTTGCAATACTATGTTGAATAGGAAGGGTGAGAGGGGGCACCCTTGTATGGTGCCAGTTTTCAAAGAGAGTACTGCCTGTTTTTGCCCATTCAGTATGATATTGTCTGTGGGTTTGTCATAGATAGCTTTTATTATTTTGAGATATGTTCAGTGGATACCTAGTTTATTGAGAGTTTTTAGCATAAAGGGCCGTATGCATGATTCTTGTACCCCATCTCATTCTGCTTAGTTAGGTTTTTCTTGTTCAGCGCTTCATTCATTTTTGCCATTTTTTCTACACATGTTTACTGAGTACTGTAAATGTGCACAGCACTCTGCCAACCATAAGGGAAACACCATGAGCAAAACCAGACCCACAGACCTTACAGAAGGGTGGGAAAAACAGACAAACAGCCTCAGACAAATAGATTTATATATTGTAATTCTGATCATACTTACCAAGGGTAGCTATATAGTGCTCTTTAGGTTTGTAAAACCAACATTTAACTTTGTTGTAAAGATTAGGGAGAGCAGAGATTTGATGTAAGAGTAGGTGTGTTCTATCATAAGATGATGTCAAGCCCAGACCCTGTGGCAGGCATAAGTCATGTAGCAGGAGGATGTGCAAGGTATTTGTGGAGCTAACGGAAGTCAGGCTGAAGAGAGCAGAGAAAAGCATGGAAGAGTAAGTGTCTAGAGGGTCGGATCAGGGAATTAATCCAGCTAGCTTTTGTAGGTCTTGTTAAGGATATATGTTAAGAGCATTAAGTTTATTTTAAGAGCCAATGAAATAGAGGACAACTCACATTGTATTTGCATTTCAGAGTCTTCATCTGGCTACACTGAAGTGAAACTATTTCAGAGGCTTTCCTACATCCTTGTAGAAAGGGTTACGAGTTGGACTTGTGATGGTAGCTGGCTATAGAGATGAGGCTAAGCAGATTAATTTGAGAACTTGTCTAGAGGTATTTGGGAAGGGCTAGGGGATGGAAAGGGAAGACTGGTTTCCACTTTTTCTTATTCATTGACCTTGAAACACTAGATGAGGGCAAGTCTTGGGACTCTATTCAGTAAGGCCTTTGGCTGTCGAATTTGAGAAATATTTCATAAATTTACATATTTACTCTATATAATCAGCAATAAAATAGGATTGTTATAAATTGTGAAACATCATTCCTGCTTTTGAGATTATAATCTCATTGGAAAAAAATAAGGTACAGACATAGAAAATATTTAAATGACATAGACACACAGGGCTTCATTTATTACGTAATATGTAAGGTCTAGAATGAAGCCCCTCACTCGACTTAGTAGTATATTTGATTATTTAAACTCAAGTACTTAACATTTTTTCTTTGAGGTCTATTAAAATATAAATTATTATCAATAAATTAATTTATTAATAAAAACTGGGGAAGTGTATATATTTTTATTTAGGAACATATGAAAGTCTACATAAAGGACAGTCTTATTATATATTTGAATATAAATGTTCATTAATATATAACATGTTTTGTCAAATTCTCGACTGATGTTTGTTAAAAGGAGATTCCAAGGAGCCATGCCATTATTTGTAATACTCGGGAAGCCAATCAATACTTCTCTAACACATTCCTTTGTAGAAATAGGCACATACATGCTATAAACAGACAATGTAAGGGGTTCTGAAAGGACTCGTGGATAAGGGATTTGAGGAACAGAGAGGATTTGCACAGGCAAGAGAATTTTCTGAGTGGAGACTTAAAAGGATCCAGGAATTGGAAAGTGTAGTCAAGGCGGACACCAAAAAGATTGTTAGTAAATAGGATAGGAAGGGTAGGCCGATATTACACAGTGTTTAAATAGTAATGGTTAAGCTGATACTTTTGAAATAAGCAATTAACTGTTTTCAAGTGATATATGAAGATATTTTGTCAATTCTTCTGCAGGCTCCCGTCTTCGTCAGGAAGATTTTCCACCTCGCATTGTTGAACACCCTTCAGACCTGATTGTCTCAAAAGGAGAACCTGCAACTTTGAACTGCAAAGCTGAAGGCCGCCCCACACCCACTATTGAATGGTACAAAGGGGGAGAGAGAGTAGAGACAGACAAAGATGAGCCTCGCTCACACCGAATGTTGCTGCCAAGTGGATCTTTATTTTTCTTACGTATAGTACATGGAAGAAAAAGTAGACCTGATGAGGGAGTCTATGTCTGCGTAGCAAGGAATTACCTTGGAGAGGCTGTGAGCCACAATGCATCGCTGGAAGTAGCCAGTAAGTAAACTGGGCTCTTTATGTTTGGCACGGGGAGTGGCAGAGCGGCATCGTTTGTCTCGATCATGGCAATGAAAAGTCAAATCTCTAGCTTTCTATATGAATACAATCTACTATTTGAGTTTTCTCTATTTCACATCCTAGCTTGTTTTTCAAGCTAAATTGGGATTTACACAGAGTTGATTAATGATTTGACTTTTGATTGGGAGCTATTTTCTGTTGGAAAATTTCATTAAAATTGTTTTATCCCCTCCTTTGTTGCTTTTAAATATATTGAATAGGGACCCATGCACTGCCTATGGTCTCAGCTACTTGAGATGCTGAGGCAAGTGAATTGCTTGAGCCCAGGGGTTCTGGGCTGTAGTGCTTCATGCCCATTTGGTGTCTACACTAAGTTTGGCATCAGTATGGTGACCTCTTCGGAATGGGGAACCAGGTTGCCTAAGGAGGGTTGAACAGGCTAAGGTCAGAAATGCAACAGATCAAAACTCCCATGCTGATTGGTAGTGGGACCATGCCTGTGAATAGCCAAAACACACACACACACGCACACACACACATTTATACATATCTACATATGAGAATTTGTCTATAACTAGGATGCTGTGGGATTTAAAAATTTTTCTTCATTAAGAAAAATACATTCAACTAGCAGTATAAGTTATGGTTTTAAACCATTTCTAATTCTTAGAAGTATATTTCTATTAAAGTGTTAACGTAAAAAGTGTATGTATATGCCTTATTTTTATTTTCTTGGCTCCTGTGGGATGCCTTTGGAAGAAGACAGGTGTTTATTGTCCTCAAGTAGTTGATGATTCCATTTTTTACATTAGCACCAAATGCAGCTTATTTGAAATTACCCCAAGAAGGATTCATTGACTAATCATTAAACGGTTTTATCTATAGGCTAGATTTGAATTGCATTTGAATAAGAGTTGGGCTGCTTTTATTTTCTACCTACATTCCAGGGGTAGCCTAAATGATTCATTCCTTTGAAAGGATCCTGCTGTATAGTCTCCAAAATTGTCTTCAACATTCAACTATACCTTAAAAAAGTATAAAAGTAATACATTTATATAATTATAAAATTTAAAAGTGGAAAGGAATTTAGAGACAGATTATTCCAACTCAATCATTTTATTAATGTGAAATCAGCCCTCAAGAATGTAAATGATTTGATCACCCTCACAGAGCCTCATATTACTTGAGACAGAATGCCAAAATGTTTGATATGAGCATAAAATATAATTAGATACAATAAAAATGTAAGTAACTATTTTAAATTCTGTTAAAACTAGCTGTTCATATTTTTAAAATATTTCCTTGAAATTCTACAATCAAGTTTGTATTTGCCTATTCACAGTTAACTAACAGTGAACTTACTGCCTTTCTCTTATTGCCTTGATTCTCAGTAAAGGTCTCAGAACTAAATCAGTGAGGTGAATGACAGCTTTCATCACAACAGAAGGCTAGTTTGCTTTTTTTTGCTTTTAAGGCCAACTTGAAATGTAGCCCAAGCAAAATAAGTTTAAATGTTTGACCTATTTATAAAAGAATATATAGCCCTTCCTCGGTATTCTTGGGCGATTGGTTACAGGACTGCTATATATACAAATATCCGTAGATGCTCAAGTTCCTTATATATGACATAGTATTTACACATAACCTATGCGTACCCACCCCCATATACTTACAAACATGTCTGGATTACTTACAATAGCTCATGTAGTAATTGTTGCTATACTGTATTGTTTAGGGAATAATCACAAGGGAAAAAAAGGCCATTCGTATTCAATATAAATGCTATCATTTATTTTCCCCTAATATTTTCCATCTGTGGTTGATTGATTCCACAGTTGCAGAGCTCATGGATACAGACGACCAACTGTATATTTTGATAAAATCATATTTCAAAATTATGATATTAGCATCGTTGTAACTTTTGGCACATTTATGTTTAAGAATAATTGTTCTATGTAGAGATAAAACTAAGTTATCCGAAAACAAATTTAGAGAATCAAAAAGATGATGTAGATGACTTAAGGCAGCTCTTATTTTGGTAGATAAGAACCTGAAGACCAGAGGGTAAAATAGTGATTCTTTGTTCTCAGTTATTATAATAGCTTGTAAGCGAAGTATCTACCAACATTAATGTTTTTAAATATCGACAATCACCTTTTTTTCCTGTATTATTCCCTACCCTACCTGCATTTTTATCATTGTTAGAATTATTTTAAAGTTATAGACTTGAATAAAAGGACTAAATGCTTACTTTCTAGATTTTCCTTTTCAAAAAGGAAATCTTTTATCCCTTTAGTTTTATCGCCACGTGATCAAGATAACTTTAATGGACTAGGATGTGGAGGGCTGTCTTTTCTAATCTGGCTTTTGTGTAGATATTTTAAAGATACTATTAGTTGCCAGTTAAGTTCTCTTTCTTAGCTAGACATTCCATTACCTTGAGAGGCCATTATGGGAAAAGCTTTCTAGTCTGAGTCAACAAATATACAATCATGGAATTGAAACCAGTCTTAAGATCATTATATCACTTTTACCAGAAAAATAATCAAATACAGAGCCCCTTAATGTGTGGTTCATAAATTTTAGGATGATGTTGTTCATCATTATGTCTCCAAAATGTTTTCAAGCTCCAGATAAAAAAGAACATTATAATTTACTGAAAAAAATTTAATATATGTACCTTAAAATACTTCAAGATAATATTCACCAATAATTAACATACTTTTAATATAGAGATAGATATTAATATATATATATAGATATTAAATATTTACCAAATTCAGTTTGATATTAATAAAGATAGTTTTATAACAAGGATTCTTATTAGTGATGATAAATACTTGAAACCCTGGGCCAGGTGAGGTAGCTCACGCCTATAATTCCGGCACTTTGGGAGCCTGAGGCAGGCAGGTCACCTGAGGTCAAGAGTTTGAGACTAGTCTGGCCAACATGGTGAAACACCGCTTCTACTAAAAATACAAAAATTAGCTGGGTGTGGTGGCACATGCCTATAATCCCAGCTACTTGGGAGGCTGAGGCAGGAGAATCACTTGAACCCAGGAGGTGGAGGTTTCAGTGAGCCAAGATCGCACCACTGCACTCCGGCCTGAGCGACAGAGCGAGGCTCTGTCTCAACAAGAACAAAAAACTAAGAACAACAACAAAAACAACAACAACAAAACACTGGAAAACGTTCAGTATTGTTTGCTTTGAATAATTTTTATGCTAGTTTAATTGCCATTATTAAAAGCATGTTTTCAGCTGGATGTGGTGGCTTATGCCTGTAACACTTTGGGAGCCCGAGGTAGGAAATCACTTGAGGCCAGGACTTTGAGATCAGCTTGGGAAACACAGCAAGACCCCATTTCTGCAATAACATAAAATTTAAAAAAAATTAGCTGGTCATGGTGGTGCACGCCTGTAGCCCCAGCTATTCTGGAGACTGAGACAGGAGGATTTCTTGGGTGCAGGAGACTGAGGCAGCAGTGAGCCATGATTGCATTCCTGCACTCCAGCCTAAGTGACAGAGTGAAAACCTGTCTCAAAAAAAAATAATAATAATTAAAGTAAAAATAAAAAAGCATATTTTCATTTGGATACATTGTATGATTTAGACACATTAAGTTCACTGGAAAAATTAAATAATCTGCAATTAAAAAGGTTTGGTATGTTTACAAAGTTTAGAAACTATTATTTAGGAAAATCATGGTGCAATGCACTACAAATAGATACGTAGTAATTTCATTCACTGTATTTCAGTTATTTATTTTAGGCAACGGGTACTGTTGATTCACCATATTTAAAATGTTTTGAGTCCTAAAGCCAAAACTAGGTTTTTGTATGTTACAGAAACAGGTTAAAGGTAAGGCGGAAGCATGGTCTTTATTTGCTGTAAGTTCATCTTGTAAAGTATAGCTTGGGTTTTGTTTTTTTCTGGAAAATATTACTACTAAAAAAAAAGTTTGCTCAGTTTAGGTTCCAGAAGTCCAATAAGAACTATCCTGACTTTCCCCAAGGCTCAGACACAGGAAGACAAAGATTGCATCTAATTGCCTAGTGAAACTGTTGCCCCAAGTAAAAACATTAACGAAAAGTATCTTGAGGCAACACAGGCTTCATAGCGCAGTTGTTGGTAATGCTTTTTAAAAAACATTTATATGTGTTTTATTTGCCTTTAAACCAAGTTTACAGCTGTAACAACAACTGCATTTCTCCATTCCTAACAATTGTCAATCTCTCAAACACTGAAAAAAATTAATATAGAATGCCATTTAAAACCTTTATTTCTGTATAGAAATAATTTTTTTGTCTATTGTGCCTTTAATATTTATTTAAGTTGAAGTAATGCACCAAAGTTATTCTATTTATCAGTTATTTGGGGGATTGTTTATTTTTATTTTCATTTACGTACCAGTTATAACAACCGTAGACCTTAGTGCAGATATTGGTTAATGTTTTGGTGCTGTTCTTTGCTATGTAGTAAAAACTGTAAACTGTTTTCTCAAAAACAGTTTTGATGCAGGTAAAGTTATCTCACACAATTATAAAGTCAAAAAATTGGAATGCTAAGAAATGTATAGTAGTTTTTATTTCTAACACTTTCACTTGTAATTATTTGAAGTCTGATTTTATAAAAGAAAACAATGTTTATGCAAAAATGTGGTTTTTAAATTTATTTTTCATTGATTATTTTTCTTTGCAAACCAATGATCATGTCGATGAAAATATGAAATTATTTAATTTAGAATACTTTGCTGTTTTTAAGACACAAAAACTCACTATTTGTCTAATTCATTTTCAAACTCAACTTTCTAAGAAGGTCTTATGAGCAGTATTTTCTTGCTTATTTTGGATTGACTCTATTAAAAGTTTGTTAGGAAAATATTTTATGGGTCTATTCCCCTGTACCCAATATCACCAATGATTAAACTCAGAACTTCATGTTATGTCTGTCACAAATTGATAGCACAGTTCTTTGA